TCGAGCGTGTATTGCGGCTGAAGGGAAACAGTTTGAGCATTTGCTATAAAGGTAAATCATCATCAGCAGCATTTTGACGCCCACTGTTGTGCAAACAGTTATCCTTAAGGGTCCTTGTGCGTTTTCATAATCGCTGTTTAATTAGGAAATTTAGAAAAATTTTCATCAGTTTTTCTTCAAATAAAAATTGTGCATAAGTTAACGAGTAATCTTCTAAGTGTTATACCATTTTGGAATCCTTATTAAATGCGCCAACTTTTAAGGTTACTTGCCAAACTCTCGTAGTACATTTTTTTCCAGTACAGCCAGTTAAAGTTGAGCAAAGTTTTACTTTGGAATACTTGGTTGGGAAATAAGTGGCAATTTTTCCTGAACGAGAAAATTTGGCAGTAAGGTTGAGACACCAGTTTGAAGATGGATTATTCATCATTACATTGTGAAAATAAAATCCAAAAAAGTTAATATTTGTAGTAACAGGAGTTGACAGACTGCCCTAGGGTGTGAAATTTCTATATCTTTTTCAAAGACCTATAATTATCAAAACACATACATAACATTTTTTTAAATATTTTTCTGATAACTGTTATGACTTTGCATCTCACCCGGTTTCGGCTTGACGTCGACTTCTGGGACACCCTGTATATTCACAAAAATTATGAAACCTGTAATGTCTTTCCTTAGGAAGAAAGGTTATTTATCTGTAATCTATTTAGACGATATTCTTCTCTAGGTTTTCTGTATAATTCACAGAATCTGTCAATTTCCTTACCGGAAGATAAATTAAAGTTTTTAAGCTTTTGAATAAGTTTCATTCATTAAAAGAATGTACAATTCGTGAATTTTCGAAGTTCATTGGAACATTAGTGTCAGTGGCACCTGCAATCAAATATAGCTTTCTATATTTGAAATTATTCGAACACCAAAAGTTTTTGGCTTTGGCAAAGGCTAGAGGAAATTATGAGGCAAAAATGTCTATCCCCAAAAGCCTTTCTTCTGATTTTAGATAGTGGAGTAGTAGTGTAAAGAATTCTGCCAACTCAATTAACTCGAAGAAGTTCCAATTAGAAATATTTACTGATGCTTCGACATCAGGATGGAGCGACTATTTCAATGATGACACCACCTACGGTTTTTGGTCAGAAGAGGAAAAATACTCTCGTATCAATGAACTAGAACTATTAGCCTTATTTTTTGGTCTGAAATGCTATACAAAACATCTTCGAAATTGTAATATTTTATGCAGAATAGATAATTCTACCGCAATATGCACCATCAATCGAATGGGAAGTGTTAAATATAGAAATCTGAATAATTTGGCAAGAAAAATCTGGACTTGGTGCCAGGATAGAAACTTATACATATTTGCCTCTTATATACCCTCAAAAGAAAACGTTCACGCAGACAAGGCATCAAGAGAGATTCATAAGGAAACAGAATGGACTATTTCTAACTATGCATTTGAAAAAATAAAGAAAACATTTGATAACCCCACCATTGATCTCTTTGCTAGTCGCTTAAATAAAAAGTGTCCAACCTTTGTATCCTGGATGAGAAGTCGATGCCTTCACATTAGACTGGTCACAGTTTTACTTCTATGCATTCCCACCCTTTTCCTTGGTTTCAAAAGTACTGCAAAAAATTATCAAGGATAGGGCAAAGGGCATTGTGGTTAACCGATGTGGGTATCTCAACCCTGGTACCCCATTTTTCAAAAATTATTAGTTCAAGAACCCTTAATTTTCAAACCTAAAGAAGCCTTCCTTTCTTTCAGCGGGACATCCCTTGTCAGACAGCCTTTTCCTGGCAGCAGGGAAGTTATCCAGGAAGCGCTACTACAAAGAGCCGTACGTCAAGACTCTTTAGACATTTGCATATCATCCATTACCAACTCTACCTTAAAACAATACACCACCGGCTTAAAACTTTGGTGGTCATTCTGCAGTTCGAAACAATTGAATCCATTTAATGTCAATGTTCCAGATGTTATGGAATTTCCAACATATCATTTTAAAAATGGTGCTTCTTATGGAACACTCAACTGTAATCGATCTACTATATCTCAAATAGCTGGTCCTGAGATAGGCTCTGATATCAGGATAAAAAGATTTTTCAAGGGAATTTTTGGGTTGAGACCTCCTTGACCCAAATACGAACATACTTGGGATCCGGCTATTGTACTCAGTCATGTTAAAGATCTGGATAATGACGATATTCCACTTGAGCTTCTCACACAAAAATTGGCAATTTTATTGGCTCTTGCAACGGGTCAGAGGGTCCAGACCTTGAGTTTAATCAACATTAAAAATATCAATATCCATCCTGAAAAAATCGAAATAAAAGTAACTGAAAGAATAAAGACATCCGCGACGAACAAATTACAACCCTTACTTGTTCCTTCTTTCATGACGCAATTATTTGCGTAGCGAAAACTCTCATAAAATACTTAGAAAAAACTAAAGAATTAAGAAATACGTGCGACTTTCTTTTTATTACATACAAACCTCATCACCAGGCATCATCTCAAACGATTAGCAGATGGACAAAAAATATTCTAAAAGCAAGTGGTCTTGATACCAACCAATTTAAATCTCATAGCACTCGACACGCTTCAACATCAGCAGCTGCTCGAGCAGGAGTCAGTTTTGACGCTACCCGATTAACAGCAGGATGGTCTCAGACATCTCAAACATTTGCTCGTTTCTATAACAGACCTATCCTAGATAACCAAGAATTTGCTAATGTTATATTAGGTTTAGGCAACAAACGATTAGTATAGCTAGTATACATAAATCAGTTCATTTATCCACTTAAGGTTATGTTAGTTTGTTACTGGGGTTCATGTTTCGTTTTTTGTTCTTTTTTTGTTTTCAAAATTAAATAAAAAGGACTAAAAGAGAGCTGTTGCAACTTTCTTTAAACATCTACACATCTTTATTTACGAGACGAGGCCTTCATATAATATATAATCAGATCAAACGAACTTACCTAAGTGATGTTCGATCTTGATTATATGAAGGCATCGTCGAAATAAATAAAGTCCCAATACCCACGCTAATTATCTACGATAGTTCCCCTAATGAGCTAGAGTTGCAACATTACCTTTAAAAAAGACAGAATTCGGGCGATGAGTACCAGCGACGGAGATACGAGGAGCCCAGGGAGGGGGTTTGTTTACTTTAAATAGTGTGGTCGTTCAGGGCGAAATCAAGGATACTACACATCTTTATTTACTTCGACGAGGCCTTCATATAATCAAGATCGAACATCACTTAGGTAAGTTCGTTTGATCTGATTAATATCTGTACTATTCAGCTCTCAGAAACTGCTTTCTTCGCAAAAACTAAGAGATAACATTTTAAAAAGGATAAACAAAAACAAGGATAAAACGTTGACATTGTTGCCACAGCATGCTTTGAATATAGTCATAATGTTGCAAAAAGCAAGTTGAAGAAATTTTTTTTTCTAGGTGTAACACTTCTAATGTCACTGAGTATATTTGTTTTTCGGTTGAGTGTGCGTTCTTTTACATGGTGCTGTAAATAAACATAATTTTCGATATTGGAGTAACTCGAACCCACATTTATTTCGAGAGGTACACTCCGAATATCCTGAAAAAATAAATATGTGGGCCGGCATTTTCGGACATCATATTGTAAGACATTTCTTTATTCCTGGAATCTTGACGGGCGAGTGGTACTTGGACATGTTAGAAAATACAATAGAGCCACGAATTACTGGTGGTGCACCGCCGCACTATATGGCTCCAGTATGACAGTTTTTGGACACCTATTTCCCGAATCAGTGAATCGGCAGACGAGGCCCTATCGAGTGGTCGCCGAGATCTCTGGACCTAAGTCCTTTAGATTACTTTCTTTGGGGGCATTTGAAAAGTAAAGTTTTTAGTACGAAGCCAGAAATTGACGCCACTTTCAGCACTTATTACCACATAGACGTACCTTTTTATAGTAAATTAATTTTTACTTTAACTTGCGTGTAAACTGTAAGTTGTTTTTTGTTTTTTTAATACTCGGAGTTTTTAAGTTTAAAGTAAAGTATTTTTACTATGAGAACTACATTGATTATTATTTTTACGACATAATCCCCTATCACAATTTGTAGAATTCTGTTATAAACTCAAATAGCTTCACAACGATTGAAGATGGGTATACACTTTATTATAGAAAAGCTACTAAAAACTTCATAGAGAATCTAAAAATTAAAAAGGGTGATTTCTATCTAAAAATCTGAAGTGTTACGCAATATCTTATTTTTTGATCAGCCTGTATTGTATGGCAATAAATGAAAATACGTCCCCCCAGAAATTGAAATTGACGCATCCCAGCTTTTTTGCCAGAATATACCAGGAGAGTCACAAATGGGGCCTTTTCGTTGGGCCACCTGTATGTGTTTATACACACTTCTCGCTCTTCTCTCTCGTACACATTTAATTCAAGCCGTCAGACGAATTTGGTTCTCCCCGTATACACGGACCTTGCAGGAAACGAAAGATAACACGCTGAAGCGATGCCGCGCAGATGTGGAAAGGGCTTTCCCTTTGGACAACGTGGCCATATGGACGGTAATTACCCATGGTACAGGGGAAGAATGTATATGGACTAATTGTCTGGGCCTGTTTGACTGACTTAATACGTTTAATTTCTTTGCTGTACGTGTCCGTAACTGATTTTTTTCTCAGGGGATTACGCTGAACATTTATGGAAGTACAGAGTCAATCCACTTGACACCATTTTTTTCTAGCCAAAGGAATTACCGCAGGAAATCCAGATTGTTACATTTTTCGATAAAAACTGCCGTCATTTTATTTTTTCGCAGTTTTAGTTTGGCCCCAATCAAAATCATGTCAGACCATCCTAAGGAATAGATATCACTACATGATGAAACTTTATCACGACATGTAACACACCCTAATGATTCATACCTACTATGCATACTAAATTGATCCTGTTACAAGCTTTATCGTTTTATATTTGCAATTGTAGAGTTGAATTTACTGTTGGTAGTAAGCCTGTTAATGGATTCAGGATGATAGAAAGGCACTTTTTTCGTGACAAGCTCTTGAAAACATTTGATTTCGATTTTGGTTTCTGCTTACCATTTTCAAGAAATACCTGTGAGCACATTTATGAATTTCCTGCATTGCCAGCTCAATTAGGTAAGTGAATGCACCTAGCTGTAGCAAAGTAAAATATTTTAAATTCTGTTCATTCCAAGAAGGTGTTTCTATCAGAGACTGTCAAATACAGTCACCCATACAAATTAATGATATGTTGCCTAGCTACGAGCCGAATTGATCTGTTCCACTGAAATGGCCGTTCGGGACTGTGAGAAAGTCATTGTTGGAAAGAACCGATTGAATAAAATAAGCAATGACTAAAAATATTGAAATATATCTTGGTAAATTTGACGTATACAGGGTGTAATTTAATTGATGGCTAAAAATACAGTATATGAATCCTTTGGGTATTTTAGGAAAAAAAGTTTATATGAACATATGTCCTAAACCTCTTAACTTTTGAGCTACAGGGTGTTGAAATTTTAAGAAATATTCCTATTCTTATCACAACCTTAATACTGATCTAGATATTTTCATGAAATCTGACATGCACATTCTAAGCACCGATGTTTATGTGGAATATTTTTTCACATTTCTACCAGTGGCGTCCGTACGGGAAATATACTGGATATTTAAAAGAAATGGTATGCCATTGCTTTTCCTAAAATAAAAAAACATTTTCGAAATCTCTATTAATTGACTTTTTCCGTCCGATATACCGTTTTCGCGTAAACAAATAAAAAACATTTTCATGCATTTAATAGGTTTTTAGATTGTGAAAGTTTCTTTAATCAATAATAAAGAGAAAATAAGTGGACTATGCCAAGTTTCACAAATTCCGAGTTAGGAAATATGCATTTTACCTACAGACTTGCTGACAGGAATGCGCTTATGGCTAGGCAGATATATTAAGAGCGGTATCCAAATTGCATGATTCCCGATGCCAGAATGTCTTATAAAATACACAGAAGACTACATGAAACTGGGAGTCTTAGGCCCGTATCGTCAGTCGTCCCTACAATTGTAGGGCTGGTTTATGGCCTTCTTGATTTCGATAATATTACGTCTTCTTCGTTAACGCACATGTATGTCCTCCTTTTGATTTCCGACATCTGACAGTTCTGGCTTGAGGTTGTTTTGACATTCAAGTCACATGACAGCAGAACCATAATTTATAATTTTCTTGCAAATAATTATCGATCACTCAAAAATACCTCGCTACATTGAACAAATTCCACAACCTGTGGTATCTTCAGGAAATTGTTCAGTTAGGAAAATTAATGCACATGGATATATTATACTATAATATACAGGGTGACTTTGAAGTTGAGTCATTAATTTTCAGATAATGATTGTAGAAGGAAGATAAACCAAAATATGTGTGTAAAAATAAAAAAAAAATAAAAAAAAATGTTTACCTTGTTTTATAAAGTATCCTCCCAACATGTATTTCAGTGCGGACCTGTATTTGATCGTGAGGTGCCCTGTGAGGTCTTAAGTCACCTGATTCACGAGCCCGTTGTACTACATTAACAAAGGCACAAGGGGTTGGTTGCACTCGATTGGGAAACCGATCCGCATAAACATGTGCCATTTTTTATTTCGTTTGAGCCACGCAACAGACACTATTCACACGCGACTGACACTGACTGTATGTATAACTGAACTGAATGAAATAAAAACATCGTTCCAAATTCTTTCGCTTTTTTGTTTCCCATGCGATGAACCGATAAGGTGGATTATATCCGTTGTTGCCAAACACGAGTACATGATATTATTATTGAGACAGGGCGGTACTCAAACTTCCAAAGGGCTATAACTTTGTTACTTTAATTTTACCAGAAAAATGGTAAAGAAAAAAAACATTTCTTTTGATCAGATCTACTCACTGTTAAAATAAATGACTCAACTTCGAAGTCACCCTGTATTTGTGTGTATGAAAGTCCAGAAGCTTACAACCTAGCTTGATGGAGTTTGGTAAGTTACAAAACAAATCATTGCATATCCATACTATAAACTTATCGCATTATTTTCAGGTGTGATTAATTATCACAGACTTTATGAGAAGTTGGTTCCTCAGTAAAATGCTATGTTTACTTTGGAAGGATAAGGAGGTGAATGATCTTTCTAAGAAGGAATTTATGCATCCAGGCATAATTGAAGGAATCTTACAGAAACAAAACGTGAATTTGATTTTATGTGACCGATATGTGCTACACTGCAATTTGTTAATTAAAGCCTGGCATAAACCTGTATGATCATAGTCATAATGATAAGAATGAACACTTACGAACTTGAAGACAAGCTGTGCTAAGCAAGTATGTATAATGTGTAAAGGTTCTGAAATTGAGTCCATGGTAAATTGACAATCATGATTTCAGGATATTAAAAAGAGCATGGGCATGTAGGAGCACCAATTATGAGATATTACAAGGTGTAAATGGGAAAATGGAGTTGCAGCATGAAGTTAAATTCTTCATTACTTTGTACCATCATGGCAGAAAATTCCACAACTAATTACAAGAAAACTGTGGGAATCAATTCCCTGTATAAAAGTCCAGAAGCTTACAACCAAGCTGTTCTCTTGATGAAGGTTGGTAAGTTACAAAACAAATCATGGGATATTCATATTATATACTTATTGCATTATTTTCAGGTGTGATTCATTCAAACAGACTTTACAAGAAGTTGGTTCCTCCATGGATAACAAACATATCCCGAATGCAACTGCATTGTTGATGTCAAGATGCCTGTTCACAAATCATTACTGGACTCTATGTGAAGTGTCAAGCTACAAATATGTACAATGTGTGTATGTGAAGATCGTAATTACCATTTATCATTCTTATTTCAGGATGCTTGAAATACCATACCCATGTAGGATTACCAAATATGAAGTATTACAGGGAGTAAACACAATTGTAGCATGAATTTAAATCAGAAAAACAGAAATTCAAATCTCAATACTAAAAGTTTTTAATTGATTTGGAACCCTAACTTCAAAGGGAAAATATATCAAAAGTATGGCATTTGAAAGGAAATCATTTTCGGGTTGAAAAAGAAATAACAAGAATTTAACTGGTTTGATATTTGAAACACTCATATGAAAAGCAGAGTTTGTTAGTTATGATAGAAACAGCAAAAAAAATCTTTGGCTCAAAAGTGTGCATTTACCTCTTGTAATACTAGGAGCTGCAATTCAGTGTGTTTCCTAATTGTACATGAGTGACGAGGAATTTCTTTAATTTCCACCAGTGATGCTATTAAGGAATTTCACCTGCTTATTTTGACAGGCAGTAATGGTATGCCACTGATGTCTCTTTTATTAAAATTTTTAATCACATCTAAGCAAATTTAATCACTTGAATGTTTTCAATCTGATGTAGGGTTTTCATAAAAACTGTCTCTGAATATTGTTAATATGACAATATCACCATGCAGCGAAAGAGTTTCTATTTTTTGGGTGGAAATCATAGGTCTGACTAAAAAAAGTTCTTTTCAAAAATACTGTTTATTTATACATAGTGACATTGCGATACTAACAATATTAGGATCATGCAAAGAAACTGTAATATCTTAGTTGGTATCAATAATACCCGGAAGTATACTAATGGTTTATTATATATCACCGATAACTGTTACAAATCCGGAACCCCGACATACTGTGTGTTAAATGTATCCCGGTGAGAGTACTCATCGTACATGCGCAATTTTCGGGGAACCAGGGGCGTACTTAATATACTACATTCATCTCCCCCGAAAATTGTTAACAGTGATCAGATGGGTAACAATAAAAAAAAGAAACAATTAATGAATGGTTAGTATTGGAGCCTCTCCGGTACCTTACGGATACGTATGGGTCGTGTAAGTTCAGCCTGTTCACCAATGGAGCTAGAATCCGAGTCACTGACATCTACGCGTTCACTATCCGCGATTCCGGCATCCACAAACACATCATCAACCGAACTACCGGCAGAAGTATTGCTGGCGCCATCACTATTGGAAAAAACGTTTACAGTGTGCGGAGCTCCACGCAGGGTGGGTAGACCAACGAATAATCATCATTTAGTTCTCTGACCTGATTAGTATGTCTTTTCCAAAGGAAATTTGAATCTAGTGGTCGAACAACGTAAACGTTTTTCCCTAAAATTTTAACAACTTGTCCTTTACACCAAGTTACTTGTTTATCGAGATAATCTTTAACCAACACAATTTGGTCAATATTAAAACATACTTTCCTATTTCCTCTGGAGTATTTTGCGTTTCTTCGTTGAGAACGTTGTATGTTTTGGTAAACATTTTCAAGTTCAACTTTTTCATTGTCTTGGACTGAGCTTGGTCTAAGCATGTCAAATCGAGTTCTCAACGAACGACCTAAAAATACTTTAGCAGGAGAATAACCAGTAGAACAGTGAACAGTATTCCTATATATCATAAGGAATTGAGCTAATAGTAAATTACAGTTCTTTTGATCACTAACCTTTTTCAAAAAATTTTTAACAGTTTTTACGCTATTCTCAGCTGCACCATTACAATGAGGTTCATAAGGCGGAATAGTTATTAGTTTAATACCATTAACATTTGCAAATTGTTTAAATTCTTCTGACACTAACTGGGGACCATTATCACTTGCAATAGTCTTAGGCAATCCAAATCTAGAAAAAAGTTATCGCAGCTTTGTAATAGTTATGTTAGTGGTAACAGATGCCATCGGAAATACTTCAAGCCATTTGGAAAAGGCATCAACGACAATCAAAAAGAAATTGTTTTTCTTCGGTTCAAAAAAATCTATATGTATCCGCGACCAAATGCCCTCGGGTATTTGCCAACATTGTAACGGTGCCTTGGCCGGCGATGATTGCAAGCGTTGACATACATGTATGTTGCACTGCTTACTAACACTTTCAATATCATCATTCAAGGACGGCCACCAAAAGTAAGATCTCGCAAGATACTTCATTTTAACAATTCCCAAATGGGTAGCATGCAACTCCTTCAATATCACCTCTCGTAACTGAAATGGTATGATAACTCGATGTCCCCAAAGCAGGACATCGTCTTCAACATTGATTTCATTTTTCCTACTGAAATAAGGTTTC